TTTTCCCTATAAGAAAATCGCTTAACACAAGAAATAATGAAACAAGTAATGTAAATAACTAGACGGTAACATTATAGTCTAGTTTCATAATCGGATAATAAATCGAAGTTAAATTTGCTGAGTCGAGTTACAGAATCGATACTGTGTATGAGAGGGGGAAGGGATTTTCCGCCAGATCGCGCGCTTATAGTCTGGCGAGTCGGATAAATTATATGATACCGAGCAATAAGTTATTGTGGCCGATTGCTTAATAAGGTCTCTCATACAATGCCGCACTCCCGTACAGCTTTACTCCCGAGCATTAGCCTTCTAACGTATAATAGTTAACCAATTATTTCTTATTTATGTATTGATTTGGTCAGTTATTAGATATTTGCTATTTCGTTAAACAAACAGTCTTCAAGAACGTGATTGAATTATTATTTTTATTATTTTGCATCTAAATTCCGTTTTACAAAAGTTAATTTTTAACAATTACGTTTCCAACGATTTTATTCACACAAAGATATTTGAGAAAACATGTTATTTTATCTTGGCAGAATAGTTATTTAACTGTTGTCTCCATAGATATAATATTAGTCCGTAACTACAATAAGCTTTTGTTTCCGTGTTAAGGGATAACTTAACACACATTTTGTTCAAGTCTGAACATTCGGGTTTTGTAGCCTAAAAAATAGTTTTTAACTTTTTTCCTCCATACTTTCTGTTTATGTTAACTTCCATATCAAAAGATAGATTCGACAAACTTAAATAGTAATTACGTCTCTGTGATTAAATATGAAATAGATATAAGGTTGAAACTAAAGAAATATAACCGAAGATCGTACCTAACGGGGTAAGTGTTTCCGCTTTATAATCAAGAAAGGGCGTTCATGTAAATATATGCTAGCAGCCCAAAAATTGCCAGCTTGATTTATTTTAAGTACTATCATACCTTTAATCTATGGTATTTTTAAGAACATTCTTGAGCAAAATTCTTCTTTCTTACACAACTGTACACGTATAGCCGCTTATCAAACATCGGTAAAGTTTACAAATTTCATGTACATAAAATAAGTTGTCGCCGATACCACTCTCGAGGGCACCGCATAAATAAAGCTTGGGATATTTCCTCCCTATTTATTTGCTTATGTGACAAATGTGTCACATAAAGTTGGCTCTTGCGTTTTATTTACTGACTCAGCCGCTTACATTTGTATGAAAAGCGCACGTCTTTCTATGATCTTTGCTCTGTGCCTTCGTTTGATAAGAAGAAATATCTAGTCACAAGAGGAGGCGTTTTAAAAATTTGTACTGAAGCTGATAACAATTTTTAATTAGCATTTTTAAACTGACATCTTCTTTGAAATTTTAACTGATCAAAATATATTTACTAAACCTAAGTATCGTATAGGCCTACATTTATAACATTCATCTATAACCTTTGACAATTAGAGTGTTATTCTGGGCATAAAAGTCTCATCCCAACTTACAACAATGATTAAGTATGCACGCAATGGAATCTATATATCTAATTCCGTAAGCCCAAAATTTTACAAAGAAATTGTGAGCGAACCGGAGGGCGTAGAAAGCTGGGAGGGGTCTCATTTTAAAGGTCTGAGCATGAAATTTTGGGCAAAATTATTCATTTTTCTTAATTATGCACCAAAAGGTTGTGGCGGAATAAAATAATTCACATTTAAATAACATGGGAATCTAGGTTATGTCTGGTTTGTTTACATTAAAACATGTGGTTTAACTTCATTTAAAGCTTATGGTAATATGTAATATGCACTGTAATATGTATACTAACCCTTAAGAGAGGTTGAACATACCAATTGACAATATAAATTTAATTGACATTTAAATGCCACCACACAAATTAGTTTTAAAAGTTGGTTCAATAGTGATGCTCATTAGAAATATGAAGCTAGGGTCTGGATTAGTTAATGGAGTACGATTGGTTGTGTTAGGTATTACTGGAAAAATTGTTAAGTTAGTACTAATTACTGGAGTAGGCAAAGGGAACATATTTTCCATGCCAAAAATAAAACTAATATCCACAGATCCTAATATGCCGTTTTGGAAAAAATTGGCATTTATTTGAAAAATTTATCTTCATGTATTTTATATAAGTGAATTTGTCTATTCAAAGAAACTTATATACATTTATTTAATAGTCATGAAGATTATCATTGAATATTGTCCTTAGTTGTATTATGATTAGAAAGTTTATATTATAAACACACCGCATGAAAAATCCTTTGTAATTTTTATTTTTAACAGAGCAGACCTCAAAATGCATTATGCAGGTATGTAATAACTATTATACATATTATAATATAACTTACAATAATGTTAAACGATAATCAAAGTAGGGTAACCCATGGGACTAATAATTTGTACAAAATAATTACTACAATATATACATAGGGGCTACTGCCCCTACAAGCCACTAGTTGTTTTGTAAAACATATTTAAAACAAAATTATATTGATATGGGTTTGATTTTTGTTGCCATAAATTGGAATTATTATTTATATTTATATTTATATTTATATCAAACTAACTTATTTTATATGTTGTAATAATATTCTTTAATAATAACCAGAATTGAACGAACTTAGGAAACCCAATCATAGGTACGGTAGTGCCCTCCAAATGGCTCTCGGGAGTCGCTTTTAACGTTAGTAATGTATATTAGACAAATACACGACAAATAGTGTAGCTAGACAATTTTGAATAAAGTCACAGGGCACTTACAAAGAAGGGGGGGGGGGTGTATACGTATATTTTCATAAATTAAACAATAATAAAAAAATTTATAGATTTATTTATCTTCTTTACGTACCACCCGAAAAATCCAATAGTGTTTATTTTGAAATAAGAAGTTGTTTGACAAAATACCAATATTAATACTTCAACTGATTAAAATTCTTACTTGATTCACCCTTGCCAAATACACTTTGTACCAAATATCTCACATTTAATCCATAATTGGACGTGGCAAACTAAGGAAAGATTGCACAATAAATACTATGCAAACACTTTGTTTTGGGTAGAGCAATTAAAATGACAATAGACAAGTAAACGCTGTTACGTGAATTAAAAATATATTGAACTATTTCTGTACATACAATTATTTTTCCTGTGTTGTACAACCTCAGTTCAACATTCAATAAACTATTTCTGTACGTACAATTATTGTTCCTATATTGTGCAACCACAATTTAATGTTCAAACTTAGATCTCATGGAATTCCATATTTGAATAAATCCTCTTTCAGCGGGAACTGTTATTGTTTTCCTATAATCCCAATACCATCGCATAACATGTGGTGGGGTATGTGGCAGATTCAGTCTCTATTCTTTCCTTGCTTCGGCGGAAGAATAAAATGACAATTTAGATATTAGTAATCTCATTAATTGAAACCTATACTAAGTCATAGCTACTTTTAACTGTATTTTTTCTGTATGCTTATTATTAATTTTCTAGCTGAAGCATAATCATTATATTTGAATATATGATAATATTCTAATTACAATTAGATTAAAATAATTTTATTAGGCTCTTAAAAGCATTTATCCAGTTGCGAAATATGTTTTAAATGGTATGACGTAAAGCCTATGTATATCACATTTTCTATGATAGAATTTATAATGTAGGCCTATACATATGTGTAATGTTATAATCTATTTTATTTAGTTCATTATTATTATCCAAATGCCTAGTAATGCGAAAATATTAAAAGGTATACTTGTTTTAATGGCAATTTCATACTTAAAACACCTAAAAAAATAATAAAGCATATCAAAAATAATATTTTCATCGTAGACGTTTAGATTTATCACTTGTTAACCCTGGGCTTTTCCTCAGGAAACTTTGCAAATGATACGGACATAGTTTAGGGTTAAAACATGTTTTATTAGATAGAGTACAATAATGCCTCCTTATATATGATTTTGTGGTATTTTACGTATATATAAATTCAAATACATCTGATATATACTCAAGAAACCACCTTAAGAAAGAAATATTAACACACCTGTCAATGCATAGTCCTAAATCGTGTTTAACAATGGTTTAATTAATTTCAAATAATCGTCTTTCGTATTTCGATACGTGAAATTATACAAACAGATATAATTTATTGTAATATTTTTGTTAAACGTTTGATAGTGAAAACTTGTGACAAACTCTTTATTAACAAATTTAACGTTATTCATAGTAAGTGCTTATATTTATTTATATAAATGGACCTTTTCCAGTTTTAGTGACCATCCCTTATATGGATGAAGCTGTTACCGTAGGTGGCACGGTAAAACCTTTACACTGGATTGATATACTTTTTCATTTTTATATTCTAAGAGGCCAAAACACTTTTCGTTAAAAGTTCTACCTATGCGTGTGCGAGTTCATGTGCATAATTCTCCGAAAATATACATTCAATATTCACATGTTAGTCGTATGGAGAAAAAGTAAACATGGATATATTGTGATCACATTTAGCAAAACTATTTATTTGGTCCTGTACCATATAATATATAAAGTTCTCGTGTCACAGTGTTTGTCTGCAAACTCCTCCGGAACGACTTCACCGATCGTTATGAAATTTGGTGTGTAAATTCTGTAGGTATGCGAATAGGAAGTAAACTATTTCCCGTTTCGAAATTCTTAAAAGGGCTCCGCCCCAGTGGCTCTGGAGTTTCCCATGTTAACCTTATGAGAAATGGAATTAATGAATCTTAACAGCTGTTTCAATTAAATAGCATTAAAGTTACAAGGATTACCAACAGGGTGCAGCACTATTATTTCTCGGAGTTTGGGCTCTACAGAGCATTTGGATGTCAAGTTAAATCACATGTTTTTATTATTTGTAATTTAATATTTATAAACAAAACAAATACATCTGTTATTATATTGCTAAGAAGTTATTATTCAGGTTTTGTAATGTAGTTAGAGGCTAGGTTTTGAAATGCATGGTTAAGTATTTAAGTTTAATCTGTGTTTTTACAGTGAACAATGCCAGCAAGGCGAAGAGGGTCAAATTTTGGCCGTCTAACGGCTGGAGCTATACAAAGGCGAAATCTAAGAGCCCAAAGGACAGACGTCCAAATTCAACAGGAAAATGAAGTTGTGCGCGTGAACATGTCGCAATTGCGCGCATCACAGTCACAAGATGATCGCGCTGAAAGAAATGAAGAAAGACGACTACAACAAAGACAAGCGCGTCGATACGTAGTTGAAGCACGCAGAGAAAATGACATACGACGACAACAAGTGCATCGAGCTTTTATATCGCATACATTCCGTCGTCTAGCATTTGAGTATGAACCCGACGTTAAATATTTTGATCATTCCAAAGTGGCGATTGGTGATATGGACAATGAATGTGCGAATTGTAAGGCGCTTAAATTCAAAAATGAGCCAGCCGGGATGTGTTGCGCCACAGGTAAAGTGCAACTACCAGTAATTGAATCACCACCTGAACCATTGAAAGGTTTACTTAATGGTACGCATCGTGATTCTAACATGTTCCTGAAATCAATTAGAACATTCAATTCATGTTTTCAAATGACATCGTTCGGAGCAACAGAAATAGTTAACAATAATGCTGCAAATGGTCAACAATTTAATACAACGTTCAAAATCAAAGGCCAAATTTACCACAAAGTAGGCTCATTGCTTCCTATGCCAAATGAACCACATAAATTTTTACAAATTTACTTTATGGGTGGCGAGGACACCGAAAGTGCGCAAGCCAATCGCGTGGATGCACGTTTAAAATACAATAACCTTAATTCACAATTTGCCAGACGTATTCTCGGCGAGCTGGACGATTTATTGAATGAGCACAATGAATTGTTGAAATTGTTCAAATCACACATGCACAAATTGCAAAGCGACAATCACGCAATTATCATCAATCCTGATAAAACACCATCTGGAGAGCACATTCGTAGATTCAATGCACCTGTTGTTGACGACGTTGCTGGAATTATGGTTGGCGACCGTACAGCTAAGCGTGAAATTGTTATTCGCAAAAGAAATAACAATCTTGAGTTCATTGCTGATACACACCGTTCATACGACGCTCTACAATATCCACTAATGTTGTATAAGGGACAAGACGGATATTACATAGATATTAAACAAAAAGATCCCGCTACAGGAGCCGAAACAAACAAGAAAGTTAGCTCGAAGGATTTTTATGCGTATCATCTGATGATTAGACGCGATCATGACAACGTCATTCTACGGTGCCGTGAACTTTGCCAACAATTCATGGTCGACATGTACGTGAAAATAGAAAACGAACGACTACGATATTTACGATAACGTTGGGTAATACAATTGGACTACTTATATATAAGTTGATATTTAGGGGAAACCTATAACTTAGGCGATACGAAGTTCGCCGGGTCAGCTAGTCTATATATATAATTCCGTAAGTCAAATTTTTGTAAAGAAATTGTGAGTGACTGGATGGCCGTAGAAGGATGGGAGGGGTCTTATTTTAAAGGTCTTGACGTGAATTTTGAGGGAAAACTATTCATTTTTCTTATTTTTTTACCATAAATTCGCAACAGAATAAAACTTTTCCCATTAAAACAACATGGGGTTTAATTTGTTTACATCTTTTGAAATTAAAATAGAAGTCATTTACTGCTGATTTCTGTTTACTTCAATACAGCTGATCGTGCTATATCTTGAAAACAGTGATCAATACACGCATTTGGTTTACTTTTAGCCAGTCAACTATGAAATGTATACTATAATAAAACTGAAATCTTGAAGATTAATCAGAAAAACGTCTGCATTCTTTGTTTATATTTAAATCATATACTCAAGTTTCATTTTTTCATGCTTTTACGTTATTGTCGTGTTAAAGGAATAAACTACATAGAATAAATATTCTGTATAAATAATCAAAGAGTCGAAATTAAATCTAACTTCTGTTTTGTTTTTATTTTTAAATCATATGTTCAAGTTTATTTTAAATGATGTTGTTTTCTTTATATTTCTACACATTTTAAGGTTAAGGTTGTGTTAATATATACAACTAAAATAACCTACAAATGTTATTGGTTCTAAAATGGTGTATTTGCATTCCTTCGTAAGTAAATATTTTTTTGTAGAGTAATCATATTCGATCATACTTTTATAAAATCACCAGGGATTCAAGATGTTTTGGTATGTAGGCTGCTGGATATATATTCTTTTCATTATAAGTACTGTAATTAATATGAACGCCAGGGGAAGACCACAAAGGCGGGGAGCTGTTCATAGGAATTACAGTGCACGTAGAAGAGCAGGAGTAGATAATGACGAACTTAATCAAGATATGTTACAACCCCTTTTTAGGAGACCCATGGTAGACGAGAGAAATGTAAATATCCATGATGCAGGATTACTGGACCAAGAGTGCATTCAATGTAGTGCTCTTCATTTTAGAGAAGAACTAACGAATAATCATTTTATGACATGTTGCCATAACGGACTTATTAACCTTCCTCAGCCAAAAACTAATGTAGAACTTAAAAATTTGTTTGAAGAGAGCCCACAACTGTATAAATTCATTCGACAATACAACAGTGCGATGGCTTTTGCTTATTTTTCAGCCAGTAAGAAAGATATTCCAGGAAAAGGACCATACTGTTTCAAAATTCAAGGACAGATTTATCGTTCAATCTCAGATTTGCTGCCTCAACATGATGAAGACCCCGTGTATGGCCAATTGTACATTATTGACATATCAACAGCAACAGAAATTCGTCAAAGGCGTCGAGAAAATAGTGACTTAAAACCTGAAATATTGTCAAAACTAGCTGAAATTCTATTAGAAAATCCATTTGCACAAATTTACAAAAGAGCTTCGGAAGAAATGGTTGTACAAGGTGACAGTAAGTTAGAACTTAGGTTTGTAGACAGGATAAATATGGATCGTCGTAGGTATAATAAGCCTACTGCAGATGAAATTGCAGGCGTCTTCAATTCGTCTGAAGGCGAACCTCCAATTAATTTTTAAAATTCCAAACAGGGAAGCTTTTATTTATCCTCATTAACCACAAGACCAAAGCTACCTTAGTAAACCAGTATTTATTCACAAACAATGATATGTTTACTGCCTTTCCATGTTAAACCACTGGAGTGATTCAAATTATTTATTGAAAATGACATCAACAAAAGCAAACAAAGAAGAACAACAAACTGGTTTTTACACAAAAGATATGGTGTAGGGATGCCTATTCTGACACATAGATAATGTTATTCTGAGTTTGTTTAAATACCGGAATTGCAATATGTTGTTTTACATTTCAGCTTTTTAGGGACTTATGTCCCTACAAGCCACTAGTTAATATAATAAAAACACATTTTTCCTTCTCTGTAGCAGTAAACTTAGTAATTCGTCACACCAAATGTTAATTAAAATAGGAAACATTTTAGTGAAAAATTAATCAGACAAAATGGAAATTCAGTTAGTCTGCAGGTTTGCTGAGGTGTTGTAGGTTTCCCTTACCCTTCCACCTGTATCATTGGTGTAACATAAATGAAGCCAAAGTCATGTAATTAGCAAGGTTATCGACACAAAAATTTACTTCAAATTTTAAAATATCGAAAGAAAAGTTTTTCGTCGCATGTTTGAACAATTAATCTTTATCATATTTCATATAGAACTATTACAACAATCGCGTTGCATTGTGTAATATTGGTGAGTGGGAGTGAGTGGGGGGGGTGGGGGGAGTTGAGTTCAGGTTTTGGATAGAAATTGCTGTGTCAAAGGGGTGGTCTACCACCGGCAAAAACACGTTGCTTTGTTCATATTAAAACTCATTTTTTGCTGGCTC